TGGCAACAAATCTCAAGGGAGACCTAGGGCCTCTGACTCTGCTTCTCCTGCTCGTGTGAGCTCTCGCTCAGAACAACCACGCACACCCCTCCTCCCAGCCTCCCACTTCTCCACCCACTTGCTCTCACCTCTGAGAGAAAATAGAAGCACACTGGGCAGGAGGCCCCCCTGCTTCCCAGCAGCCCAACTAGCAAACTACCAGCACCCAGGCTCCATCCTGCCTCCCGTTCCCCCTGGGCCCTGCTCCTCCCCTTGGGCTCTAGATGCCGGCGATCTCCCCCAAGTCCACTCCTCCTCCGTGGATCACCTTTCTGGGCCGCACCATCAACTTCCCCCTCTCCAGCTCCCTGTCCCGGGCAGGTGAGCAGCTCCTACGCTCCGGCCACGGAACCAGCACGCGGGCTCTCCCTCAGCCCTGTCTTCCCCCCACCCCTGCATCCCCCCTCTCCTCTCTTTCCTTTGCAGCCACGTTTCTTCGTTTCCATTCCTCACCTCTCCTTATCTTCTCAAGCCACTCCAGTTAGCTGCTGTCTCCACCCTTCCTGCCTGGAAACTGCTCTTATCGGTGTCCCCAGGGACGTCCCTGGCGCTAGAGCCCGCGCTCGGTGCTCCTCGTGCAGCCTGTCCCACCACTAGGCACCCATGCTGCCTCCTCCCCACCTCAGGGCCCACGCCTCCGTTTCCCTGGCCCCCTCCACTTCCTCTGCTCCGTCTACACCACAGGTCGCCCGGAACCCTGTCCTTTCTCGGTGACCATCTTGGCCAGTCCCACGGCTTTAGGGCATCTCTAGCCCACGGACTTCCAGTGCGGTTCTCCATCCCTGACCTCACCCCTGAGCTCTGGACTCCTTTCCAGCTGAGGACCTGATGGCTCCCCATAGCTCTCTAGTGGGTGGCCGGCACGGCCATATGACTTGTTCTAGCCAGTGAAATGCAAGGGGAAGGGACATCACTGTCCTCTTTTCCCTTTTCCATGGTGATGGGCAATGTTCCAAATAGAGGTGGGTCCCAGAGAGGGAAAGGGCAGGAAGCAGAACCACGGTTAGCCCCGTAGCAGGAGCGAGAATCTGCACTGGGATCTGGGGAGGAGGGTGTTACCATAGCATAATCTAGCCCACCCTGACCACTACGTGTACCCCCACGAGGTTATGGAATCTAGTAAGGTCATAGGGGAAGCTGTTCTTTATTTTTTAAAAGATTTTGAGAGCGACAGCATGAGCAGGGAGTGGGAGGGAAGGGAAGAGGGAGAGGGAGAAGCAAGCTCCCTGCTACACAGCGCTCCATCCCAGGACCCTGAAATCATGACCTGAGCCAAAGGCAGACGCTTAACCCATGGGCTGCCCAGATGCCCCTGGGAAACTGTTCTTTAAATTGTACGCATGTGGGGCACCTGAGTGGCTCAGTGGGTTAAGGTCTGCCTTCGGCTCATGTCATGATCCCAGGATCCTGGGATCGAGCCCCCGCGCTGGGCTTCCTGCTCAGTGGGGAGTCTGCTTCTCCTTCTCCCTCTCCCCCTCCTCCTGCTTGTGTGCTCTCTCTGTCAAATAAAATCTTTAAAAAAATAAAATGATAAAGCATACGCATGAGGACAGGCCCAGGACTGACTAGGATGAGGGAGACCAGATACACCTCAGTGATAGGAAGCAGGCTTTGCTGGCCACCAAGTGGGGCTCCAGCTCACCCCGGAGCCAGGTTCTAAGCCAGTCCCTTGGTACTAAATTTACCCTCGAAGGTCCCTTAAGTTGCCCGTGAAATACAGAACAGCATGATCCCTGGTGAAGTTCAACACAGCCCGTTTTTCTCCAGCACGGGAGTAACTGGCTTTTCTTTGGCTGAATGCCAGACAAGGTACTTGCTTTAAGAACCCCTTGCATAGGGGAACCTGGGTGGCTCAGTCGGTTAAGCCGCTGCCTTCGGCTCGGGTCATGATCCCAGGGTCCTGGGATCGAGCCCCGCATCGGGCTCCCTGCTCTGCGGGGAGCCTGCTTCTCCCTCTCCCTCTGCCTACTTGTTCTCTCTCTGTCAAATAAATAAATAAATAAAATCTTTAAAAAAAAAAAAAAAGAACCCCTTGCATAAGAAAATCAGTGAAATCCTACTCAGCAGGTAACATGCTCTTTACTCAACCTGTTTCCTCTTCCTCCTCGGCCCACAGCTAACCTCTCTTTCCTAACCTCCCTTGTGGGAACAAGTGGCCACATTGATGAGTTGCAGCCCATGGAAGGTGGACGGGAGTAGTAGGTGTCAATTGCCCACCTTCCCATGAACACCAACCTCGGCAATCCTCCAGGCCCCCCCTCCTCTGCTTGCACCTTGCGAGCGAGCAGGGCGCTCTGGGGAGTCCTGTGTGGAAAATGGTGGAACCGTGAGATGTGAAGAGCCCGAGTCCCTGAATCTCTGCCTCAGGAGAGCTACTTCCCAGTCAGGAGCTCCTGATTAGGACTTCACATGAGTTAGAAATAAACCACTATCGTGGTTGAGCCGCTGTAGGCCTTGAGGTTTGTTCCAGCAGTCAGGTTCACCCGAGGGAACGGCGGGTTCTCGGGGCCCCGGCTGTGCCCTCCCGGAGCCAGGGCCCGCTGAGTGGAGCGAGCCAACGGAATGTCTTGCGTGGTGGTGATTCATTTAGTCTGAAAGCGTACGGATGAGATCCCCAAAGCTCTGGCAGCACCTTTATCTTAGTCCATTCAGGCTGCCGGAGCAAGACACCACAGGCCGGGGGGCTCGTAAAAACAGTCACGTCACAGTTCTGGAGTCCAAGATCGAGGCACCTGCATGGCCTTGTGCTGATGACAGCCCTCTTCCAGTTCAGAGCCCGCACCTTTGGCTTCATCCCCACCTCGTGGAAGGGGCAAGAGAGCTCTCTGGAGCCTCTTTCGTGAAGGCACTAATCCCATTCTGGAAGGCTCACGACCTAAAGGCCCTCGTCTCCAAATGCTGTCACATCGGACATCAGGTTTCAACATAGGAATTTCGCGAGCACGCAAACACACAGACCATGGTAACATGTGGCTCCTCTATGTTCCTTAGATCTAATTCAGCCTAGACTCTCCCCATCGCCCTCCTCCAGGCCACTCGGCTCGCTCCTGGGCTCAGTCCAGCCGCTGGGCTCGGGACCCAAGGCAGAGGGAACCTCTGGTCCCTACCAGGGGAGGGTCCTCCAGGCTCAGGCATGTATTCTACTTGAGTGGAAGACACACTCTCTTGCCCACGTCTCCCCCTTGTTTAGATCATGGGCTTGCTGGGTTTATGTAAGTTAGAGACTCCTGGTGTCACTAGAAATGGTTAGGGCCGAAGAGCCAAGGAGGCAGGGCCGTGGGGCTTGAGCGAGGGCTCCGAGGACCCATCTGGCTGCAGGGGAGAGCAAGGTTCACAAAGGGTGAAGGGCAGTGGGGCACCCGAAGAACTTGGAGGGGCAGCTGGGCTCTGACTCATTAGCTTCCTGGAGTACCTCTGCCCCAGCCACCGCCCTGCTGCAAACCTTCCACTATGTCCCACAAGTGCCCTCCAAGAGCAGGAGCGGGCGGTTAACCAGCATTGTTCACGGGGCAGGACCTGGTTAATACCTATGCAATTCTGTGCCACCACTGAGCAGACGCCCCCGGGGACGGCCAATGTTAAGGGTGCAGGCTTTGGGGCCTCCTCCGAGGGAGGATGGGCACAATAGAAGGCTAGCCTGGGTGGGGGTGAAAGGAGGGAAGGAATGCACACAAAAAGCACTTGGAACTGTGGTCGCTCGTGAGAGCAGAGCACTACATACACAGAATGAGCTGTAAAATACGGAAACCTGAGTGCGCAGGCGTGAAGAGTTTATCTAGACAGACATAAAAGCAATGAGTAGCCGTGGTCACCTCTGGGGAGAAAGGAGAGCTGAAGGTGGCAGACCTCGTCACCCTTTTGTTATGCATACGATTCCGTATTTTTGCCATACGAATATTTTACCTATTATCTTGAAAGATCCTTCAGTGGCTCCATGTGGCCCTCAGGATAAGTCCAAATGCCCTACTGGACTCCTCAGGCGGCCCTGGCTGGCTTCGGCCTCGGCTCTCCAGCGCCCAACCCACAGCACTCAGTGTCCCAGGCACATCGATCCGTTTCCATTTCCTCACAACTGTTCTGGGTGATCTCTGACCTCCCCATTTTCCCTGCTGGGAATCAATCCTCTCTTGCACATTAACCGTTCCCGCCCCAATCCCTAGCAGCTTTCTAGACACCCACCTGCTTCAGCCACACCCAAGTGCTCCAGCACTTTTTTTCTCCCATCCTTCCCCTCCCCCCCACAAGCTTGGCCCAAACTGCATTATCATCTCCCCCATGGCTGGCTTGCGACCTCCAAGAGGACTGACCCAATCCCCTGGGCCTAGCACGGGAGCTGAGGCTCAATACCCAGCTGCTACATTTCAGCTCTCTGGGACACAAGGGCCTCTTGGCTAAGCTATTACAAGGACGAAATGAGTAACATCTGCAAAGAACCCCCAGCACAGGATCTGGCATATGGGAAGCTGAATATAGTCTTAAAAAGCAAGCTGGTGCCAGACAGCAGAGAAAGCTCAGATGGCAGGGCTAGCTGTTAGGGACAGATGCCCAGAACAAGGTCTACGACACAGTGAGTGCCCCAAAACTGCTTAAGACAGAACAGTGGTTCTCAACATTATGGGGAAGAATCAATCAATCACCTGTTGTTTATTAAAATAGCAACTGGGCCCATCCCTAGGGATGCTAGCTCTCAAGGTCTGGCACAGGGTCCAAGCAGCTGAATTTTTAAGATATAATCCACAGGCGGGACGCCTGGGTGGCTCAGTCGGTTAAGCATCTGCCTTCAGCTTGGGTCATGATCCCAGGGTCCTGGGATCGAGCCCCGCGTCGGGCTCCCTGCTCAGCGGGGAGCGTGCTTCTCCCTCTGCCTGCTGCTCCCCCTGCTTGCGCTCTCTCGTTCTGACAAAATCTTTAAAAAAATACTAATCCACAGGTGATCTAAGGACCCACTCTGAGAAACCAACTGATCTGTTCGTGAATTTTATTAAGCGGCTATGATATGCCAGGTTAAGGTTCATCTTCATTGTGGGGATACAGAAGGAACAAGAAGTGTCTGTGCCCTCAGGGAGTTTACATTCTGGTGAGGGTAGAAAATGTGAGGTATACAAAAAAATGGAGACAGCCAGTGACAATGTCGTAAAGAAGGTGGGCAAAGACAGGGCATCTTGGGTGGCAGGGAGGCCCTCTCTCTGAGGTCACAGTGGAATGACAGGGCAGAGCCGGTCAGGAAACAACTAGGAGAAAAGCATCCAGATGATCTTCCTTTTCCCCCCAGGTCCCCTCAACCAGGCCCTGGTCCAAGAGTATCTCAAAGGAAACCAAGTCCTGGAGAGTGAAGCCCTCTCCCCGCCTCACCACACCCCCTATTATGGAGGCTTTCAGAGCCAGGACTGGACACAGGAGACTGGGATGGGAAAGGATCTACACGCCCCCTTCTCTCCTGGCCGGGGTACCCCAGGCTTCCTGGGGCCAGGGGCACAGCTCTGACTCCCCGCCTTTTGAGAAACCTGGCCCCTACCCCATCTCCCTCACTCAAGTGTCCCTAAAGTCCCAGGCCAAGCCAGATCCCTGGGCTGAGCCAGCAGGTGCGACAATGCCGGGTCCTCAGGCCTCTTGGTGTCCCAGGAGCACTGCTCATATGGCCGGGGCGTCCCGAGGATCCTTCTTGATTTGAAGTCCAGGTCCTTGGGAATCCCAGGGGTGGGACTGGTCCTCAGGATTTCGGAGAACATGGCATCACCCAGGAAGGCGACCCCCCCTTCCCAGCAGGCGAGACAACACATTAGGAAGACGGGAGCCTGGGCCCTCGCAGGAGGGAGAGGGGAGCCGCACGGCCCAGCGAGACTCCCCAGGGCAGGTGGGCAGCCAGGGGCTGGAGGCTCCGGGGTCACTTCTTCCTGGCTCGGTCTGCCGCATCCAGGGCAGCCATGTTGCGGGCGGCTGTGACCAGGTGGACGACACTGATGAGAGACTTGAGCACCGCGATAGGGGCGGTGATCCAGAGGCCCACTCGGAAAAGACCCACAGAGCCAACTGTGGAAGGGAGCACGGGCGATAGAGACAATGGGATGCAGGTGAGGGAGAGGAGGCCCAGGAGTCTGTAGCCTCCAGGCCACCATCACTGCGGGTGGGCCAGGACGTCCTCCCACCCTCCCGCCAGCCCCTCGCCTCCTACCTAAAGGTCCCTCGGAGAAATGGAACAGGTAGAGAAGGCAGTAGAAGAGCTCATTTCCAGCACACAGGGTAAACAGGGCAGGCTGCACAGAGGGCAAAAGGGTCGCTTAAGCAGTGCCGCCCCTCCCCCCAGCTGAAGGACAGGGGCCAGAACCCTCTGCGGATGGGCAGCAGGGAGGAACCATACCGTACTGGGAAGTAGGAGTGCAGGGGTGAGGTGAGGGTGAAAGAGAAATCTCAGCATATTACTTCTCTCTTTAAAAATCCTTTCAGACGCTATCTGTGCTCCCAGAATAAAGCCCACATGGCCTAAGGCTTGTTGAAAACTGGCTCCGCGGGCCAATCTGGCTTCTCTCTCCCTCCCTCCCTTCTGCTGCCCTCCGTGTAAGTCACGCGGAGCCTCCCCACCGATCCTACCCTCCTTCATGCCTCAGCTTCCAGGCCTCTCTCCCCCGGAGTCTCCCCTGCGTTGGTGTGTCCCTCCTTGTGCTCATGCCTTCTCCTAACCTAGGACCAGGGCTCAGCCCAGGGCTTGGCATAAGGTGAGGGAATAAGGGGAGGGGGGGCGGGAAATGCTCACTCTGGAGGTGTAGTAGATGCGAAGCACCGGATTTCCAGACAGGTCAATCATCTTGTGACTTGCACTGCCTCGGACCACAGAACTTGGGGAGAAAGCAGGGGGAATCCATGAGCACTCCTTACCACTAAGGGCCATCGAATCCTCCCAGGTAGGTGCTGGGATTGCCTCTGCTGAACAGAGGAGACGGGGCACGAGATGGGGCTCAGCTAAGAACTGAGGTCTTGCCCAAAGTCACACAACTACCTAGCTGGTAATTACCCAGCAGAGTCAGGACTCAAACACGACATCCCAAAGCCCTCAGCCGTTATCTATTTGGAACTCTCGGACTATCCAACAGGACTTTTAGGGATTGCTTAATCCACCCGCGAACAGAGGCTTTGCCCAGGGTCCTTCAACAAAGCAGAGCTAAGAGGGCGACCTCCCAGGAAGTCTGAAGGCTTTCCAGACGCCCTCCATAGAGCCTCACCCCTCCCCACTGTAGTGTCTTCAGCCGGCCAGCACCCCCCGAACTGCAGACCTGTGGAGGTGCAACCAGTGACTGGCCATATCCAGGCTCATGCTGAGCTGGAAGAGAAGGGTGGCCCGTGGGTACAGCAGGGCCAGGTTGACCAGCAGACACATGGTGGAGCAGCGGTCCGTCAGCATGTCCAGCATGGCCCCAAACCGGGTCCCTGAAAAACGGGGGCTGTTAGGTGGGAAGGGGCCATCGGGGGCAGTGGGTCTGTGACAGGAACCATATTTGGCGTGTCATTCTGATGCAGAATCTAGAAGAAGATTGAAAATGTCCACCGTCCACTGCCTGGGGAGGAAAATAGGCTGTTGCTATCTGTGGGGTGTGAGGTCAAGGGGTAGGGGTCACTGAGAGAGGAAATGAGGGGGCATGGGGGCCGGAGAGGGGAATGAGAGAGCTAGCTCTGCGGCTCATCAATCCCAGAACCAAGGGTCCAGGGCTCCAGACAAGCAGACTTCAAGTTTTGGGGGAGGTCTTGCAGGTGGGTTTGGAGAACAGATTAAAAATTAATCGGCCCTGCAGAAACCATCCTTCTTTCTTCTCCATTCTCCCTCTAAACATGGCTTCTGGAACCCCTATTCCTTGTGCCTGGCACACAGTAGCCCCCACCCCACAATAGCCCCCCAGGAAACACCTGTTGAACGGGTTTTTCTTCAGAGAGACCTCCAGCACTGCCATGTCCAGTCTTGCTACCCCACACCCTGTAAGTTCTTCTCAACAGCAAGCTTAAATCCCTTCTGCTACGAAAGTAGGCCATTCTGTTCTGCTTTCTACAGAGATGGGAAGGACGGGGCCCTCAGGTTCCTGAGTTCCCGCCCGCCCCCAGGTCCTGAGGAGGCAGGAAAAGGGGACAGAGGGTGGTTGGGCCTCAAGGCTGGCTGGGAGGAGGTCTGTCACCTTGATTAAGGGCTCGAGCAGCGTGTCCATCGAAAGCGTCCAGAAGTCCGCTGAGCAAGTAGAAGGAGGAGGCCGTGAGGGGGCAGCAGGGCATGAAGTAGAAAGAAACGATGGCGAAGACAATCCGGGCATAACCTTGGGATGGACGGGGTTAGACAGAGGGGGATCAGGGACCCTGCCCAAGCCCCCTCGCCCTCCCGCTCGGCCGGGAGCCCCGGGCAGCACTCACCGATGAGGTTAGGCACAAACAGGAAGATATTTTCACCTGGCATCGCGGCGGCCCCCTTGCCGCCCCGGGCCCGATCTGGAGGTGGTAACCGAGTCCCAGCCCCGCCGCGCGGCCTCACCCTCGGGCCCCGCGGATCGGCCGCGCCCACAGCGCGCAGG